TTCTTTTACACTCAGGCAATTTGAACATTCACATCCTCAGGCCCATCACAAGTGTCTGCTGTAGGGGCAGGATTAGGGAAAGAATATGATTTCTAAACAGCCACAGCTGAGGGAGGAAGCACTCCCAAATCTATCCAGGAAGTTTTACCACTTGGAGCTTGTCTTTGAAAGCACATAGGTAACTTCACAGAACTTTATCGTTAACAAGTATCTTTGCATTAGTGAAACCAGCCTTAAAAGCATCCCACGAAATATTTCATTTACAAAACCAGAAGCTCCTCCTCTCCAATATAACTTCTACAGTTCAATACACGATTTTGTTTGCACCAATTTGCTCTAGAGAGCTGGACTCCTATCCTGGTATTTCTTGCCTTTGACAGAAGCTTGTGCAGGAAGATTATGATATTCACAGTCAGCGTAAAGCATGCTGGCTGGCAACAGCACACAGAAGATGAGAGGAGCAATTGTCTCCAGAAGTGCTATTTAGTTTTAGTGTTAAGTGCATTATCAAAATCAAGGGCTTTGTTTTGTCAAAGAGATCATAGTTAAGCCTCACATGCTTTGAAGTTGCACCTACACCAGGCTACACTGCTGCATTAATGTCAAGCCATAACTTAATTAGGACTTGAAACACACCTTCATTTTATACACATGCTTTTTCTCCAGGGCAAGTTTAATACAAGCCCTCCAGCAGAAGGGGTTGCAAGGCATCATGAACGCCAAAACATCCCCAAACACTTACCCTGAGTTCTGCCTTGCCAACATGACTCTTTCAGACAGTTAAGGTGAAAGATCAATTACAGACAATTACAATTATGCCAGTTAGAGACAATTCCAGCTGTGTCAAGGATAAGCACACATATTGCCTGTACTGATTGCAGAAGACTGATCACCTCTAAGCCTGGCAGACCTGGAAGCTAGAAGGCGTCAGAAGCACAGCAAGGCAGGTCAATTCACACACCTACTGAAAGAGAAGAAACATTTAATCACAGATGTGTTGGTTTAATGAAAGTTTTGAAGTAGTTCTGCATAGCTGAAATAATCAAATCAGAGACATCAATCCTGGCTTCATATTCAAGGCTGCAAAGGATTCAGTTCCAGGACACACACTGAGGGGAAAAAAACCACAGCATTTGACCACCAAACAAATCCTATGGATCCATTTGCAGAATGATTTCTGAGGAAGTTCTGAAGATGGACTTCAGATCAAACACACTTAAAAGAAACAATACCTTAAAATTGTTACTGGTTCAAGGACTCTGATCTAAGTGCATACACAGTTAAACGAACATTTTAAGGAAATACTTCCCTTCATTTCTGTCAGCAGTGGCTACTACTGGCTGGCGCTTTAAATGGACATGAGTTTTCTGATCACCTTACTGAAATTCAGCTGACAGACAGTAACACTTCCTTCTGCAGAGGTAACAGTGTTCAAATCCAACTGCAAGAACACACCCAGTTTAAGTCATCAGTGAACCTCTCCAAAAAGCACATTATAGGTATAATACAGACACATTTTCAGCTACTATAAAATGGCAGAAAATGATTTACTTTATCTTCCAATGAATTGCTTATTTTTAATCACAACTGTTCAGGCACAGATGATAGATGAATAGGAAAAATAAAAGGTTAAAAATAATGTACAGTTTAGCACAGAAGGCAACATTTGAACAGAAGCACATCATTTTAATTTGCTTTGAGTTTTAAAGCAATCTGAACAAAAAAAAAGTTTACCATATAAATACAGAGTAAATGCACATAATCTACAGCTAACTACATGGATAGAATAATAGCAAACCTCACATGAGCACTGAAGTACTCCAAACCTGTCATTTGTGAGAGTTTAGCTATGACTCTGAGGGCACAGTTATGTTCACATATGCAGGGTAGGCAGACTCTTAAATAGAGGAGCTGAAAACTTACAGTAACTGAATCTTAACAGACAAGGTTGGAAGAAGCAATACATTTACCTAGGCACGCTTCAGCATTCAGCTCTGTTTCCCAACTTAAACAGTTTAAATAGGAAGCAACACTTTAAAAAGCTCTCCAATCTTTTGTCTCTGGAAGCATCCTTTTATAATGCTACATTCTGAGGAATGTTACAAATGTCATTATGAGAACGAAAACAGAATAGCAGAAACTGTCATCAACAAACACCACGATGAGAAAGGAAATATACAGAGGGCACTATGTAAACAGAGAACAAGATAGGTGCAATGTCAATATACAAGCACACAGCTTGACATTTCAGTTACAATTAAAACAACCTAAAAACTCCCTAAACCCCAAGTGTAAAACAATATAAGCTAGCAGATCAGGAATTCAGACAGAAACAGCTTATCTGATAGTTTAAAGGCTGGGCTCAGCCTCTGCAACAGAATTCATTTTCACACAGCTCTACAGGGACCAAATAGATAATATTGGGGCTGAGAAGTGTGTCTATATCCACTGAAATCTATTTTCTTTGATGGCTTTCCAAACTCGGGCCACGTTACCATGTCCCCCCGGCATGGCAGTACGGGGGACAACCAAAGCACTGTAACCAAGCCCTGGTAGACAAATGCATGCTTCAGTGCCATCTTCTGGCTGAAACGGGAAACTGCAATCGCAGTGATGGTGCCGAGTCAAAATTAACAGCCTGCATTAACATTTACATTTCATCTAGGCAAGGGAAATAGGAGGAAACTAATTCAATTACTGAGATTTTCCATAAATCCAAGACCTCTGCCGCTAGCACAGCAAAGTGTGACATAAATACACTACATTCATATATAAATCAAGATGGCCATCTAAGTGGCAAGAAAGTTTAAATGCACTCCTTTAGTTCTGGAGTTAAAAGGTTATGTAGCATCATCTTATTCCCTTTCAGTTTTTAATATAAAGAAAAACAATATAAATACTTAAAATCTTTGGGAAATATTTCAGGGATAACTTTGCATGTACTGGTAGTTTAAAACTACCAAAAACCATCCTGTGAATCTTGAAGTTTTGTTATGTAAAGCAAGCCTAAAAGGTAACTCCAGAAATCTAAAACTGCTTAAACACCCATTAAAAAGGCAGAAGAAGCAGCCGATTGTCTAGTTTTCGCTGTCACCTCCCATCATCAATTGTCTTTAACATTTTCTGTTTACCAACTCCAGAGGGTCTTTCTCACCCAGGCAAGGCACAAAGTACCCAGTGAATAAATGTGAGACAAACATGTAACCAAGGGACAATGTATCCAATAAAACAGGAGAGTAACCCCATGAAGCATAGGCTAATCCAAGTGTTAATTATATTCATGACTTCCAAACTTGTCTTTGCCAATTTAGATTTTGGCTATGATTGAATAATCTGGACTGCCTGAAGAGTAATTCACTTCCTACAAAACAGGAATTATCTGAACAATGGCATCACAGCAAGACTTGGGGCAAGTCATGAATACTCCAGACTTTTCCTAGAGAGCTCACTAGGAAAAGCCCACTTCAGACATTTAAGCACTCCCCTCACTTTAAAACAATCTAGTTCATCTTTGGTCTCACCACAGACCAGCTATCTGCTTTTGAAAAGGTTAGGGAACATTCTTTAAGGAGAATGAAGACAATACAGCTAAGCCTCCACTGTAATACTTTAGGTGGCTTTTAGAAGAAAAGGCAATTAGTACAGAGAATTACATTAAATACTCAAATACTTTGACACTGTGGAGAACATGACAAGGGTCAAAATAAACAAAAGCAAAGTAGAAAAACCCAGACAAACTGTTCTGTAAGCTTTGAGCTTTTACATATAGCCTACAGAACTACAGCAACAGAGATGACATGTTTTATCCTGTACAGCTTACACAGAAATCTAACTACATGCTTTGTTTAAAGCCAAACTGTGTATTTTGAACAGTTTGACTACAGGTATCTCAAGAGGAAAGAAAGTCGTAATCCATAAGAAGGCCACAAAGTGCATAAGGAGTCATTCATAAAACAAAAGCCATTGCACACAGTTTAATTGTACTGAAGTACCACACTGGAAGAGTTTATAGCACAGTTCTGTCCACACAAGGATAGCAGCATTTATATGTAGAAAGCTATTGCCCCCAATGTATAATGATAACCCTTCCTCATAAGGATCATGGATGCAGAATGAGAAATAATCAAGGTGCAGATAAAAGGTATCATTTGAAACACTGTAGAAGTTCTTTTAACATTAAAGTTCTGATTTTGACACTCCAGCTGTATGGTTTTGGAAAACCCTGCAAGTTATGACAAAACAAACTAGCTAAGCATCACTGCTGAATGTGACATTGTTCTGCAGCTGTCTTATTGAGCAAGACCAATACCTTTATATTCAGACAATTTGGAGGACAAGGTTATACTGCTGTTCAGTATACAGGCTCAAGCTGGAAGAAGTGATATAGCAGTTACCTAGCGGAATGCTTCCAAGAGTCTTAATTACAGTTTTCTTCATTGCTCTGCACAGAGGCTGCACTGAAAAAAAGATCTATTTCATTTTCAACTGTCTTTTCTGCTTCCTGGTCACCTTAGCCAAGGTGATACGTGTTCTGCCCCTGTACTCCCACAAAAATACTGGTAATTCAAGTCAGGATTTGACAGACATTTTAGGGTAATATCACTTTTTCTTATGTAGCATGAAACTATCTGGGTGAATCCTGTCTTCACAAATGGTAGACTGGACTACCTGAGATTCCTCATCACATTACAAATACTTAACAAGGTTCTAAAGTAGTATTCAGCAAGTTCTTACTTAGCTGTGTGAGTGACCCGACAGGTTGGCAAGGAAAACACTTCATACATCTCTCTTATTTAAGGCAGGCAAGTTCCAGAAGAGAAAAGGTGATGTAGAAGAACTAGGAACCTACAAACACCAATATCAACAGCTTGATAACCTTGGAGATTAACAATAGAAACCTCTCTCAGTAACTTACAACACTGCTCAAACTTAAAACATACCAGAAATGAAAACCCTGAAAAACAAAAACCAAGACTAAACAAAAAGCCAAACCCCAAACAAACCACCGAGTACCACTCCTAATAGTGAAGAAATCACTGTTCTGTGTGCCTGCACCATATTTTGTCTTGAGATAGCAACATGGAAAACTTTACACACTCACTATTATCTCACTCTCTATGAATCTTCAGAGCAACTGAATGGCCATTTTGGATACAGAAAGGTATGAAAGCACTGTCTTTCCCATTCTTCCCACAGGTTACTGTGCAGTAGAACAGACCAAAAAAGGACAGTTGAGAGCAATCACTAAGGGAAGTGAATAAAGCTGCCCAGTACTAAATTTTACACTCCCTCCCTCACCTATTAGGTGTCTGAAGATGATTTAACAGCCTTGCCTGGATTAACAGGTGAAAACAAAGTAACAACTTTGAATTAGCAATGTATAAAGGTATTCCCTAAGGAGTAGCTCCCATTTATCACACTGTCAAGAGACCATACAGTAAGGCAGCAAGATTATCCAGATTTGCCCACAACCAGCCTTCCGTTTTGTCCATAGCTGCATGTTCCTGATACATCTTTCCTTTGCCCATCACGTCGGCATTGACATTCAGTGGTCCACTCCAGTCTCTCCATCTTCCACCTTCTTCTAGGAAGCCTTGTTGCATTGCTATCCATCGAGCAAGTAGACTACCACTTCATAGGTTGACATCATGATAGCCGTGTTTGGAATCTGTCTGATCAGATGTGTAGTTAAGCCTCTGTAGAGGGAGCCATACCCTTCTTCTCGCACAAGCAAAGATAGTGTCTGGAAGAAAGACCTGTATTTTGTTCCCTCTTCTCTTAGTCTTGTTCGTACAACCTCTGCACAAAGAAAACCACATGTGGTTAACACTCAACACTGTTAATTATCTTCCCCTAAACCAATTCGTGATTTTCACTTTAAAATCCCCCTCCTTGAGTTCTAACTTAGAAGAAGTCTTCAAAAACAGAGGAAGAAGACAGAAGCAAGCCCAGTATGTGTAAGAGGAAAACAAGTTGAATTTTTGTCAGTACTATAAAATTAAGAAAGCAAAAATCATTTGCTTAGTTAAAAATCCAGAAGAGAGCTTTTGTTTGGGCTTATGTTTCAGCTTAGAAGCCACCACTAATAATGTACTCAATCCATTAATGCATAGACAATTACTCTGCAGGTAAACAAGTGCAACTGGAAACCGAACTAGACAACCTATTTTCCTAGAAGGGGGAAAAGAACTTGCTGGCAAATTTTGTGAAATTGCTGAGCATACAGAGAGATCCCAAGTGCAAAAGGACCTTCTCCTTAAGCACTTTAGGGTATACCCTACCAAACCCTTTGGAAAAGGTAAGCATCGCCTAAGTAGAGGCCATACTAGATATCCACTTAAAAATACTTCAATTTCCACACACTATGCTCATGCTGACTCAATCTGACATGACAAGCTTTGTACTAAGAAATAGCTCTTGAACAAGTGATCCAAAGTCTGCTACAAATATCACTGAAGAGGCTCCTTTTGACCCATTTGATTCAGCTGTACATGCCCCACTTACCATGAGGATATGCTATTGATGTTGCACAAGTTTTGGAAGTGGCAGCAGCCATCATCATGCCAACAAAGTCCGAAGCCTCTTTTGCTGATTCATCCTCACTGTCCATAGCAGAGGCAGTCTTATACTCCAGTAGTTTTCTCTTAATACTCTCATAAATAACAAAATGAATAACAGTCTCAGATATGCCTGCGTAGGACGCTGACATTCCTCTGTAAAAGCCTTTAATACCATCTGAACGGTAAACTTTTTGGACACATTCAAAAGCACTCATTCGCTTTTCTCCACGATTCCTAAAAAGGAGAAAACAAGAGAGACATCAAGATGCCGCAACTTGAGGAAGGAAAACAAATTTGCTAGAGTGACAAGAGGACTTAGGAAATATCTCACACTGATGATGAGGACTCCAATTCAGATACATTTAAGAGCACACAGAACTTGAATTGAAAGTCTAAGGCCTTTAGCACTAAACACAGGTGAAACACTATACTGAATCCAAGCCAAACTTCACATGGTGTCTAAGTGTCACATAGGTAAGTTGAACAGCTCTAGGCTTCTGCAAGTCTTACAGAATAAAGGACTAAATTGCTTGAAAAAGACTCCCAAATAAATTGTCACTGTAAGTGACTCATGGAAAACATGACCATTTTATTCTGCATAATGAAAATGGATTTCCCCTAAATTCTGCCTCAAAAAAGCAGCTCCATAACATGGCAATTACAGTGGCTCAGAGTTCAAACAGCAGGCCTCACAGTATCACAGCTATCAGCAATACCAAGCATGTCTAGACAGAGTACAGCAACTGATACAACAAAGGTAACAATTATTTGAATCAACTAAGTCACTGCTGATATAAAGAAAATACTAATTAGACATGACTGTATCAAGAAATTTTTGGTAAATAAAATCTTACTCTCATTTTTAGCTTACTTAGTGAACTGAGTTCTGCCTACTGAAACACTAGGCATATTGTACACAGCAAAACCCTTACAAGACTGCAGAAAGCATGATTCATTGTGTCCAGAAGTGCCAGCACCAGCAGAGAGTGAGTCACAGAATAAAACTGTGACTTGCTTTAAATTCTTATAAAGCAAGTAAACTTTATGAGAACTTCGGTAACTCTTACAGATACTGACAAAACCAGACAGACAGTAGCAGCAGCTATTGTGTAAGTAGCACGAGGCACCACTTGGTGACAGAATTTAAGTCCCAATGGTTTGAACCTGCAGTGTCAGACAGAAGCGAAACAAAGCAGAGAAAGTGGGCACACAGAGCTGCAGATCAGATCTTGTATAACCTAGGTGGCAGATGCTGCAGAGAACTGAGGGACTGGCACGGATTTTCTGACAGGCAAGAGAAAAGAGTCAGAGAACAACAGGTAAGAAGAGAAGCTGTACCTACAGCTACAGCCCCAGGGGTACCCCCATCCCCACGTGTCGCTGGTAAGGTCAGACTACTGTAAGAACTTTTTCTTTTGATGTGCAAGATGCACAGCACTGCTTTGAAGGCCACAGCAATTTCAGTCTGTAAACAAGAGACATGCTTTCTTCAGCGCTTACTGAGATAAGACGGGTTTTTAAGAACTTCAACAGGAACAAGGATCAGGCCACTATAATCCTACTTTCAATCCTGCGGTAACAACTGAGTTAGAAGAGCTGAGAATGCAGTTTGTGCTAGACTAGCCCACATAATTGCAGTGTCCTACACCAACTTGGATCCTTTCTCAGGTCTCCCACATGAGCTGTGTGCTTGATATAATGTACAGAAATAACATGCACAAGATAACCATCATTTTCCCTAATTGCCTTAAAGCCCTATAGTTCAAGCAATTTAACTGATAAATCAGTAAAAATCAAGCAGAGGCACAAGATACCATTAGGATGCATACAGCACCAAAACTTCCTTGTAATTAGTCTTGCAATTATCACCTCCAATCATACAATGGCATCACAAACAACTTCACATAAAAATTAGTTCTGGGATATATTTACTATGGTCAACTTGCAGCCAACAACATGACTGCTAGGAGGAAAAATGCTTATATGGGCTTAATACAGGAAGACCAGCAGACCTCCAAAATAGCAACACGTGGCTCAATATCTTTAGAATGGCTGAAGACTTTTATATTGCATGATAAGTTTTCAGTAAGAAAAAAATCTGTAAAATGAACAAGACAGCTGCACTGAGATACTTGCATCATACCAGTGTGTCTCTACAGTTTTACATAGATAGGAATAAACACAAAGGTCTTTCTTCCTCCCTATTTGCATAAAATTCTACTTCATTACAAATTTCATTATAGAATAGTTTCTGAAAAAGATGATGCAATAAGTCCAAACAACTTCTATTGTCTATCCCGCATTAGAACAATTCCTGTGTTTTGATCCATGAAAGCAGGCTTCCCTTTTTATGGATTACAGCTTATTGCATATGAAAAATAAAAAGTCTCTTCAGGCATTTCTCTAAACTTTTGCTAAAACACTTAAAATCCTTATATGAAGGAGTGCTTAGCTCAAAGCTAAAACCAAATAAAATGTATTACTGTAGGAAAATGAATGCAGAGACTTAACTTCATAATCAATCCCAAACTGGTCTATCAGTCTACTCCAGTGCCTCTGGCATGCTGGAGGAGGTATGTTACAATAGAGAAAAATAACAATGTAACTTGTAGATAGATCAGCAGCAACTTATGAAATTGCAGATGTTGGATATCTAACAAATGACTCCATCTGGGGATGCTGAACAGATTCACAACAGTTAAGCGAAATCTTATCACAAAAGTGAGAGTTCCCATTGTCACTATACCTTGCATCAAGCTGTAATCGTGTCTTTACTAGCCAAATGGGATTAGTTGTTGTGATCGCAGTAAAACCTAAAATATTTGAAAAGAAAAGTTATATTTGATAATATCACAACAGCAACTGCATCTAAGTTTGAAACACACACAGTAAGGTACAGTGGATGCAAAAACTCGGACTATACTGAGTTTTAGGAAGTACCCATTGTAGCTGATTTACTGTTACTGATATCTTATGTATCCATACAGCCAATGAATGTTTAGATTACTTTTTAATTTTACATTGCTATTGTGTAAGTTTGATTCTTAGCAAGAGACGACCCATGTAAATTAAGCCCAATTGTGTACATTTCTCTGCCTTTCTAATCATATCAACCCTGTTCTGACACCAGAGAACAGCAAAGCTAGCTAGACTGATACTAGCCAATTTGGCAAACATGTCAATAAGAATGCATTGCAGATACAGCTCTAGCAATTTGAGATGGTATAAAGCATTCTGTCAATTTAATTTGCTACCTGAAATACAATCCGAGTTTAAAAGCATGCAGACTGAATAACTACTACTTTTGGTGCAGTTAAAAGGCATGTATTACTGTAACTTAAGAGACCTTTTAATACTGAACAATAATGAGCAGTTAAATTTGAGAGATAATGTTTTATTTAGTATTCAAAGCAGAGATTGTTGGTTGGCCTAGGACTACTTTTACAAGCATATGAGTGTTTAAATTGTTAAAGTAAATAGTATGACTTCTAACTATCCAGACAGACAGCAACTATTCAGGCTTGCATAAGGGCTAAGGGTTAAAGCTTTGATTTTCAGTCCATTAAAGAAAACAAAAAGGAAGAAAAAGAGAAAAGGAAACAAAAAAAAAACAACAAAAAGAGAAGTAAGAATCATTCTTACTTCTGCAGAACCGTGGAGAGAAAAAGAGCAGGGTGAAAAACAGCTTTGAAAAAACAAAAGTAAAACAAAAAACCATCTAGAGTTGTAATACCATACATGCACCATTCATGAGGTGTCATGTCTGCAGGAGAGAAGAGGAAAAGGGAAGAGCTGGAACATGGCCAGGCAAGAGATGATAAATTTAGACACTTGCTTTCTAGGGTGACACACATCACTTGCAGATCACTACAAAGACATGCTGCCCTCCTGCAAGGGAATGGACTAGAGCTGGGGGAAAGCAACAACAGGTTACCGTGTCCAGTGCATATCTGGTGCACAACACTTACACAACAAATAGGCTATTGATAAGCTTGTTTATGGAGATAATTAATAGCTTATATATATTTAGCAGAACTGCTTGCATACAGGTTACTTTCTGTTCAATCACAATCTAGGTTTACATTGCACACAAAAGACTGCAATACTCAAGAGAAATGCCAGGGGATCTTAACTGTTTTGAGGTTTCTCCTACCCCATCCCAAGTCTTAAATAAGTCATTATGATTTTCAGTTACAGTTCTAAAGACAAGCTACAAGACTTAGCAGCTACTAAGATTTATCTCTTTTTCTGTGCCAAAACAGCAAAAACACTTTAGAGATTTCAGTTTAATATTTTGATTAAGCAGATTTTTTTTATTTTAAACTGACTCAAAACTCTTAGCTAAATAACTTGCCATGATAGATAATAAAGTTTTGGGGTTGGTTTGGGGTATTTTTGATACGCTACTCTTTAATGTGTTTAAGAACATATAGAGCTCTTCATACAACTGCATGAAAATGCGTTTTGTATCTGCATTTTGTGTAGGTAAATAGCTACCTAAAACCTCAATTCATCAGGGAACTACTGTGCCATAAGAAGGCATGGGATGCTTGTAAAACATACCACATCTGCAAAAACGGTTCTGTAGTTCAACTAGCTGGAGCCTTAATGCCACAGAAACTCCTCTGCTTCCTACAGCACCTGACCCTGGGGTGAACTAAGCTTAAAGGAAACACTGGATTTGCATTTTTTTATCGGTTTTATACTAGCACTAAGAATAAAGCTTTAGTTTTCTTTCAGTTCAGATGAGAATCTTTCCATACCTATAGTGGAGTGAAGGGCACTAGAAACGCACAGGACTGCAACAATGGCTTTGAATAAGGTGGGAGGACACTACTAATTTTCTAATTAGTAATTACTAATTACTTTCCCTACCAACACATTTTCAAGGAAAGACTTCCCTCTAAAAAATAAAATTAGTTCTTAAGTTTCTCCTAGATCTTTAAGTCAGGAAGACCAAAACATTTTTTTCATTCCTATTTAAGTTGCATGCTTTGGAATATCGGTACTGCTAAACTGTATATTATAGCATTACCTGCTCAGCCCTTTCTCCTTCCTATTTATCCCAAGGTGTTCTCTGTAGATCCTAAGTCTGGAACAGGCAATGCACACGTGAGATCAGAGGCAGTGTCTGAGTGGCCGCAGTGACTGCATTCACCCACAGCACCAGCCTGATACTCCTAGACAAGGAGGGGGAATTCCCGATATAGTCCTAGAAGAGTATATTGGCAATTGCCAGTAAGGAGTGATTGGCACAGGACAAAGCCTACTCTGTGTTGTGCTGAACATAATTTAAGCATAGCACTCTAACAGTAGGATCAGACACCAACATAGCCATTTTTTTTTCTCCCTTGGAATATCATAAGCCTAAATTGACAGTCCAAACCAAAGCTTTCAAATCAAAGAGCCTTCAGTAATGCAGGTTTCAAGAGGAAACAACTACAGCTCAATTCTTACAGGTAATGTAGTAAATACAGTTATTGGAAGAGGAAATACAAATTAAGAGTTGAGTCATGCTGATGCCAAGGAAAGTACTCAAAAACATGCAAGATACTACGTGGGATCTTTGATAAGATAAGCTTCTCTTTCTAAATATAGCAAATATGCAGCAGAAGTACTTGTTAAAGTAGGGGGGGAGGGGAGAGGAAGCTTTCAACAACTGCCATGAAGCTCTATCAATTCCTTCCTTTCTCTTTTTAGAAGTCTGAATGAACTTTATACAGCTTTACAATGCTTATCAACGTGTTGTATCCTCAAGAAACATTCCAGACTCATTAGAAGTATAGAACAATTCATTAATGCCAGATAATCCTGTACTTAGCTATGTTTTATTCTACATAATCGTATCCCTGCTTCAGATGGAAAGCATTATCTCAGTCTACTTTTACAGCTATACCTCCATCTACTTATACAGCTACTGACAGGTAAGATCCCAGGTATTCCTATTATGCACCATATTTCAAAGGTTAGGGTTGCTCTTTCTTTTAATTTGTAAGCCAATGTAATACAGACACATGTGAATATGGAATGTTTAATAAAAATCCAAAGTAGTAAAATAAAAACAAACCAAAAGAGAGCATAGAGAGAGACAGAAAGGAGATTGTATACATACTACAAAAGAAAAGGAAAAGAGGTCTTTGAAATAATGTGACAGAGTATCAGCTGCAGCATTTTAAAGGCAGCTCTGGGACACTAAGGAAAAAAAGAAAACCAAAAGGCCTTTTTTAACCCAGTAAGAACTTTCAATTAACCAGATGTAAGTAAAGTAGCAGCTATCAGTGAAAGGTATTTTTCACCTTCCCCTGAACTGCACAGAAAAAAAAACAACCCAGCTCCAAACAGAGTTAAGGAGGAGTGATGTCATTGCACAATGCACATCATCCAAATTCAAGATCATGAAAGTGAATTCCCCTTATTTTGTTTATTAAATAGATATGACAAACCCAATGTGTGGTTCTTACACTAAAGGCTGCAAGAGACGCCCAGTTCAGTACTCACGAGGTTTAAGTTAGTCCATATTGCTGCAGGAAGTGACCTGCGGATGGGGAGCATGAGATGACACGATCTCACTCTTTTCACGGGAGAAATGTACAGTAATTGCCTAAAATAGACACAGGCTTTTCTGTATCATAACAACAAGCAGTGACCTCATCAGACACACGTGTACAAATTGAATCCCATTGGAAGGATATGTGAATTAGTTATTGTGAGATCTAACTGTTTTCAGGTAAAAGTTTAGGAAAAAAAACAAAAAGAAAGAAAAATAATCAGAACAGGCCACAGATACTGAAATAAGTTATGTAAAATGCACTGAGTACTGAAATTCCTGCTCATTTGCAGCAGTTCCATTTTATATCTCCAAATACTTACCTATGTAACAAATTTATGTGGGAACCCTCTTCCTTTCCCTCTCCCTCCCAAATAAAATTCAAAAAAACCTAGTCTTGGGACTGAAAAAGCAAGATAGATGCCTTATAAAATCACGCTTTCTATTACCAGTTACCAATGAACTAAATATGCATTTTATTTGGTATTTAGTAACTGTGTAAAACTACTAAAAGTTACAAGTGTATGTAACAACTGGTCCCAATTTTTCAATACATAAAAATAAAACACCCTACATTTGGGTTGGTTTCCCAGTAGAATTCTAGAAAGAATAGCAATAGCATACAAGGCAAAGTACTTTCACAGCAGATTTGCAACCATGTTGTCTGAATGAGGCTATGAATCATCAAAAGGGCAAACAAGAAAGTCATACAAGAATCGAGTATCTCATTCAGTTCCCCCCAGTTTTTATTCTGTGTGGCAAAAGAGGTTGAATAAGTGCAATGAAAAGGCAGAGCTGATAGTGAATCTAAGAATTTAGACTATCTTTGAAGTGTACTGAGATTATATTTTCTTCACACAAGGAAATGCTCTCATTCTTGTGGTATACTTCGGATATATTCACTGTTCAAGTTATCAAAAAGAGAACCATGTGATATTCCAAGTAGTAAGCAAAACAGATTGCTTCATGATAAAACACAGATTTTTTTAGATGTGAAGGTGATATGAATTGTATCCTGGAAGCTAGCACACAGCAAGAGAAAAGCATTTCTAATTGCATAAGGCATCAGTTACTAATGTGCAGCACAATTCATCCTCCTTGGGATAAAACAAACTTAATAAAAAAAATAAATAAACCCAAAAATGTTTCATCTTGAGAAGGAAAAATAATGCCTAAACCCAGACAAAAATGCTGAAAATACCATACCTCAGCTTTTCACTCCCAAAACTACCATATGCATAAAATTATCCTTTTTTACCTTCTCTCAAGCTTGAGATACTTAAGTATTAACATACAATACAAATAGTATTCGAAGTTTGCTAAAGTTCACTACTTACAGTAGCTACTGCTTTATGGAAGTTACAGATTTTTACTTGTATTTTTGCATCATTATTGTATTTTGCAACCTACAGGAAAAGCTTTTTAAGTGCAAACCCCACCTGATGCTCATTGGGTATTAGAAGCCTGTATGTAATAGAAAGGTGATATCCAAACCAAAAAACCCCACCACCCTCATTTAAGACTGAGTTACTCAACTCCTTACTGAAACCAGTGGCAGCTGCAAAAGAAAATAGTCAGTACTGATTATTTTTTGCTCATTATTACAGTTGTTTATCCACCTTGCCAGTTTTGAAATCTGAAGTTCCAAAGCAAATACTATAGGGATCTTCGTCTTAACCTGTTTAAGTCAAACAGTTCAGAGCTCACATACAACCTTGTCCCTGTTATTTTGCCATTTCCTTAAGCTGATTTGCATTGTGTAGAAATACAAACCTTGCGGGTAAAACTGTTAAAAGCTGGTTTAAGTGCAATTTCTGAAATATATCAGAATTACAAAAACAACGTTAGCATGTTCCCAATGAATGTACTGTTAATTTTAACTGCAGTCACTTCTCACATAAATCATAATACTGCCAATACTGAGTATGGAGAAATTATTTGTCAAGGAACCTTCTTCTAAGGGTCTTCCAGAGAATGTCTGTAGTACACGATGCCTGGACATCTCAAGAGAAAAAATAGTGACCTGTTGTGTGAACCTGCACTGGGCATTCAGTTTCCCTGCTTATGTGGTTTTGAAATACAACTGCAGAACTAGGTAAGTGTGAGAAAGAGAACAGCCACAGAAGTTATTCAATATTAAAACTTGTTTCCAAATGTAAAAAAGGCAAAAACTGGCAACTAAGGCTGAAATACATTCACCCCAGTCTCCTGCAGTCATAAGTACAAGTGTATAACACCAACCTTCTGGAAGGAAAACAAGTTAAAAAGATACAGAACTCCTTGATAAACTAGAGTCTGCATCTGCAAGCACTTAGGAGAAGTCACTACGGCACATCTCCATACATATTCTTTTCATTACAGAAAAAGCTTCCAAAGATAAGGAATACTCTGAACACTCATCTGTAGCACTGCATGACTTACTACACTTGTCTCCAACTCAGGATAGACCTGTTTTTCTTACCCATACTTCCCCTCACCCCCCTGAATGTTTTATCCCCTTGAGGAACTGAAGACAACCCAGTTTTCTTGGCACAACTGACTGATTAGGATGAACTTTTCATTATATCCCCTTCCATCCCATTTCCCATGTTGTTGACCTACAAAAAAAAGACATATTTCCAGGTGATAAGAAAAAACACTGCATCATCTGAGCACTTGATTTTCCATTTAAGACAAAACTGCTCTCCTCATCTTTAAGAAGATTCAAAACTGCCATTTCATTTCTTATGTGCTATAGATCAACTTTATGATTGAACAAAACACTAATGCTCACGTCACTTGATTTTTCTACCTATATAACTTTTTCTTGTACTAGATTATCAGCAATTATTAAATAGAAATCTAACCCTAACAATTATTCTGACATCACCTTTAGCAGTCCATTCCAGATTACTAATACTCACTGGTTGTAAAATTTGACAGCCACTAGAAACTTGAACAGGCTACCATAAACCTGTCAGAATTCACCTGTGAAGTGTCTATGGCCTATTCAGAATAAAACCATTTTTGAACATTTGGGTTTGGGTAGGAAAGACCTGGGCAACAACAGGTGAAGTGTTGCCAGTCCAAGTTTTGATTATACCTGCACAAGTCTGACCACAGATCAGCTCAGTTGCCTTTAACTCCCCTTTTAATGATCTCAAAGCACAGAACATACAAATCAAACAAATATTGGTAGCTGCTAAAATATACCATGGTTACATTGTGGATATAAAATTTCATTTCCAGAAATGAAAATATACAAAAACTACACAAATCTGCTTTTTAATATATCACTTCAGTGGCAGAGCAAACTTCACACAGACTGGTATTTGAACAAAAGCAGAGGGGGCAGAGAGTGTTACGTATCATTTAGACAAATACCTGCTGCCATATTTCAGAAGAGCAAAAATAAGTCAGATAAACATAGCTGTAACTAAGTGGTGGTAAAAGAAACAAATCATGAAGCATTAAACTCAAGTTCACTGCAAACAATGTTTTCAGCTTGCAGAACAAAAAGTTATTGTTTTGAAAACTTCCACTTTACATATCAGAAAGTTACTATTGAAAAAGCAGGCATGCAAGCTTGCCTAGGAAAGACCTTTCACACACAGTTAAAGATCTGCATTAACACTAACTGCTAACTTCCATGCACATACTCCTCAGAGGCCAAAAAAAGGTATCCACTACACAAAACGATCATTTTTGTGTTTTGGTTTTTTTTTCCTAATTTTATTGCCATCTGTAATTTGTAGATACAGCTGTAGAATGAAGATAAAAAATTATAGATCCTTACCTGCCACACCAGCTGAAATCATGTGTACTTGGGTGGAATCTGGATTGAAAATACTGTTTAACTTTTCCTTGCAGTTTGAGTAGGCAGCAAAATATATTGCTCTGAAATTAGAACAAAATCCAAGTTATGTTCATTTTACACATCAATGCCCTTACAAGCAGCACCAAGAACTTCGCCAATTCAAGATGACTGTTGTCCAAGTCTTACTTTCTCAGTAAAAAGCTACTCAAGAAATAGATGTTGCAGAGTAGAGGGACTATTGTAGGAATGGGCAAAAACAAACCCAAACATCATACTTGACAACTGTTTCTTCCACAACAGCTCCATTTAACAATTAGTGAAGGGAAGGCCAGATGATTAGAAATGTGGCAATGACACATTTTGTAGCACTAGAAAGTTCAGCTACACACGCAAAACACGCTGAACTAGTATTCTGTATTTCTTTAATAATAGATCAGATTTGTTCTAATGCACCTAAATTCATTTCAATACCATTACAATTTCAGGAGAATTACCATGTAGCTATTTTTTATAACCAAAAAGCACACTTAAATATTTATAACATTATTCTAGCATGTAAGATGTAAATATGGATAAACTTGTGGTTATACTTTATAACTTAGTGTTCAAGGCAAGGTTGGACGAGGCCTTGGGTAATATGATTTAGAGCGAGGTGTCCCTGCCCATGGCAGGGGGGTTGGAACTTGATGATCTTAAGGTCCTTTCCAACCCTAACTATTCTATGATTCTATTCTATGATTCCATAAATATTTATATTTTAAATACACTTTAGTTCTGTACTTAGAATAGACAATTTTTTTCTGATTACACTACAAAATATCCGCAAGCTTGTACTACATTCAAGTGTGAACTGGTATCAAAGCAAAGCTACACATCCAAGTTACCATGTCAATGCAATGCATTTTGAAAAATGCCTGGTTTCCTTCAATAAAGCTAAAAAACAAAAAAACCCACAACTTACTTTAAGCACATCTAAACCTCATATTTAAGCTTGTTTTAACTTAAACACCCTTCTACAAGAGAAGAAAAACATGCCAGTTTTCAGGAACAGAACATTAACCTAATTAGCTGTGTAAACATGTTTTTCTTCATTATAAAAAAAAAAAGAAAAGATGAAGTGCTTACTTCATGGGTGTAATTTCTAAAATGGAATCTGAACTCGGTTAAGCATACTGGATGTGTTATGAAACATGCTTCTCTGTGGCTTATTTAAACAAAGAGCTGCTGTTAAATCCATTTAGCTTATGCTTAATTGAAATGAAGCACTGGATGAAGACTGAGTCAGCCAGTAGGGCATGAAGATGTGCTTATTTATAAGACTTCACACGGTAAATCAAATTGACATTTTTAGCACAGCGGGGAAATGGAATAGGAGAAGATCAACAAGGTAAGTATTTCATCTGGGGGAAAAAGGGAAGAGAAATAGAAGATTCAACACAAACAATGCTAAAAAGAAACAGGGTTTTTTGCAATTGAGCATATTTTTCACTGAGGATAGTCACTTATAACATTGAATCCATTGCTGTATAGAAGTAGCTTTTAAAGTCATATCAAAGCTGAACATACATACCAGATTGACTACCAAACAAGAGTACAGGCTCTCCAGATTAGGAAGTGCTGATACCCCACAGGTGTCGGGAACAAAGACAGCTACTGGAATTATTTAATCTACTTCAAACAGCAGTGTTAAATTAATGACCAGAAAGTGCCATAGGTATTCCTAATTCCTTAAAAAAAAATAAAATCTGCTCAAAGTATTCCAATTCCTGAATTATGTTTTCCTCTTACTCATGTGGAGGATCTACAGAACACCACCTCATCTGTCAGATTCAAGTAGAAGACAGATCGATGCCAAACCCTCAGTCTACTTAAATGAAGTTTTCCAGAAGCATCCAAAGAGCTAAACCAGAAAGGTGTGTGCACAAGACAGCAATGTCTTCTCTTCAAACAAAAAAGGGCACTAAATCGACTGAAGAACAAAACCTTGTGCAACTTCTTAGGCACTTCCCTCCTTAACTGGACAAAACTCTTCATATGGGGTAGTACACAACAGTAAATATTATACTAGCACATAGGTTAGTAAATGCTGAGACAGTTGGAGCATGCATGTGGGACTGGAGTTGCAGAATACGAGTGGCTCCATTTCTCAGACAACAGAATTACCCCAGCAACCAAAGGTTATTTGCTCTTCAATATTTACAAGCGCAGATGAAAAACTTGCTTCAAATTAACCTTAAATCCCTTAATGTACAGCAACCTAAATTTCAAAGTTATTTTTTTTACTTTACACATTTGCACTTACCTGGAAGGAGCAACACCTACTAGATTAGGGCCCAGCCCTCTGAACAGGGAACGAGGACCTTCCTTTTGCAAGATCATCCTAGAAAACGAAAGAGTGACAATACCATAACATTCACACCAAAACTAAGGGATGCACTGACCACCAGAACAACATCATTTGAGCTTTACTGTGTGCAAACATTTCACAATAGCTGACAGTACAGTGATGGCCACAAAAATCAGTCATTTCCTACAACTGCCATAAAGTAAAATTCCATTATTACTTGACTTGCCATAGAAATCAAGGAACCAAATGCATAAGTACAGCCTTATGTCAACACTACAAAAACAGGAACACAAACATATATGGTTAGCTTAGCTGTTACTAGGAAGTTAAAGAAAGTGTCCTTTTATCAGGGAAAAATACTAAGCACAGCAATGTTCACATTCCTGTAGGTTGTAGATTGGTCGGGAGAAAAAGATTTGATTCTATTTTACATTGCTTGCCTCACCTCTTAGCTCCCAGCACTTGGGAACTTTTTTTGGGTGGGAAGAATGGGGTAAGCAGCAAGAGAGGAGGAGAGGAAAACAACTTAAGAAGGTTAAGTTACAGCAAGTCATATGCCTTCTGAGAGCAGCTCAGGAAGATGTCAGCTCTCTGCTTACCATGCAAAAGATGGCCCTGGCTGGGCAATCTATTCTCTACTTTTCTCAGTAAGACAGAAACCTCAACATGGCTTAGAATGTGCTACCCTGATTTGATTCTACAAGACTCCTAAGTTACATGTCAGAGGAAAGCAGTCTTTCAGACACTAAGTCCTGCATTCCCTATCCCCATGAATGATTTAAATCCACTAAGCATTCAACTAAGAGCTCATTCTTGGCTTTGTTTCTGTAAGTTACAGTGATTATTTTGACTACAGTAAAAGGAAACAGGAAGCTCCCACACAAGAAGTAACCCTTCCTTAAGGCTTGCATGGTTTTCCTCCCTATCAGTTCTGAACTGCTGCCTGTGTGCTTCTACTCAAGCACTGTTGCTGGGCTGTGTAGCCCACGGATTTTCCTTTGACTCATTCCAGGAGACAATCCTCACCTTCTCAGGCAAGGCAGCTCACTTAAGTTTGAGATTAACAGAAAAAGGACCTGTAACCCATGTGAAGACCTGGGGCTACAAGGTGGCTGTGACATCTCATGGTACCAGGTCCACTATAAACACAGCTCTGGAAAGACTGGAAAGCGTCTACAGAGAAACAGGGATATGAGCAGTGAATTGAGACCTCAAATGAGGCATTACTAGTACTTAAGTGTTTGGAATACCCTTCCCATGTACCTGTGGTTTCTAAAGTTGAAAACCATTATAGAGGTAGGTAAACTGGCACAATAAGAGGATAACCATTAATAGCCAGATTTAGTGAAATAAATCTAACAATCTAGATGCTAAACAGATAGGGTATTCTAAGAAGAATGGCAGGACATTGGAGGAGAAACAAGGACTAAGTGCATCCCATTACTGCAAATTGCTATAGCAACTGCTTAAGAACCAGATTTAAATTTAAGTCTTAACTACTTCTGTAGATGTTGCCAAACAGAACTCTGTGCTTATTTAGAAACAGTGGCTAATACACACAAATAATGATCCCATATATTTCTTTTTCAAACTGACATATCAGTTAACAGCAAGTCAATAACTCTATAAAGCAAACTGTATTTGTGTAAATGGCTATTTTGTTTGGAATTCACTATCAGAACAAACAGGTGAAAGCCATCTATAGCACTGAAGGAGATTCCAAACCTATTCCCATTTCCAACAAGTGGATCACCACAGCTTTACTGCTAAATTCAACTGAAAGTTTACATTTGTTTTCAGTAAGCAAAAATAAAGTGAGGGCTGTGCAAAGTTACCACCACTACTTAGGAATGCTGGCATGTAATGTGTCCACAACATCTTAGGTTTGTATCCTTAACAATTAGATACGATTTACCTGTCATACCTAATTGTTGGCAGCATTGCTCTGCAGCCATAATTGGAACATTGAACACATCCTCAAAAGCACTTTGTAATGACAAATTTGACATGCCCATGATCCTGAAAGCATTTATAACACTTACAGAAACATATTCCAGAGATCAGCAAGGACACAGCATTAGATTATAGTAAATTCCACTTAAACACACTACTAAAAAATCACTACCATCAAGGTATCATGTGTTACACTTATGTATATATGCACATATAACACATGCATATATACAAAACAGGTAGAACCTCAGTTTCTTAAGAGAAACTTAGGAGTGAAGTGTACCACTGTTTCTTCTGGATCTGTAGTGTCCTGGACAGGTACCAGACACCTGCCTGTGGTCTACACAAGCAGTTTAACTGTGGCCATACAACTTGCCTTCCAGCTACTGAACATCAGAAGCATTGGTGAGAGGAAGGGCAGTCCCATTCAGCAAGGTGCTATGCAAACAAACCATTCCAGGTTATGGCAAAATCTGGCCTCTTACTACCCACACATCCACCAGAAGGTACTGAAAGGCAGGAATAGTGTGGAGTGGTGAAAGCTGAGAAAGATTAAGAAGCACAGTTAATTTTCATAGGGCTTCTTGCCCCATATTCAGCAACATCTACAATTTGGACATAACATGGTTTTAAAAAGTCTTATGGTAACAATTCTTCAGGATGAAAATAGTCTGGTGCTTAAATATAACAGTATTGCCAGTGAGTTTTAGGGACATAGTTTGGAGCTGTGATTTGTACAGGGCACACATGCGTTGGCTAATTCCAAGTATGAACTCAAGCATGAAGGACATTCAGAAGAGTGGAATGTTAAACTTAACTGCAGTTAAAAAAAGCAAATAAAAGAAAGTTTTCTCAGTAGCACCAAGCCAGATGTAAGAGTCTGAATCTTTCATAGAGATTTTCCCAACACATCTCTTTCCTCCTCCCTCCCCAATGTAACCAAAACCTAGTAACAGGTACACTCACTTCAAACAATGGAGAGGTCCAGGAGAAACTCTAGTTACTCGATTGACGGTAGCACCATTCACAGTGTTGAGATGGACTTCAGAGACGTAGAGAGTCACAGAGGAAGACTGCAATCGTGTTTTCACAACTTCCAGTGGACATGTCAGAATTGCACCAACAGTACCGCCACATCTGCAGAGCAAATAGGATCATCACATTAACTGCAAAGACCCTGAAGGACACACTCACATATAATTAACATTATACCCAACACAGTCAAATCCCAAGAAGTGAAGTAACAATGGAACATGCATGAAAATGCTGTAGTTATTTGCCCTTGAAGGCAAATAAACTGTTAAGTCAGTTTGTTAACTCCACAACTTGGAGTGGAAATTTAAACAAAGATACTTCACAATAGTTCAGGTGCGCAGTCTTCAGTACACACTGTTCAAATCAGTTCTGGAAAGTAGCTCAGCATCTGAAATGTTTAACTCCTTATGGTAAATTTTAACTTCTCTTGAATTTTTAGTGTCCTCCTGACCACCAATAACGTGTCAAAAAACCTTAAGGCTAGAAAAAAAAAAAGGTATTATACACACGATGCACACAGGACTCCATGTAAAACCTGGTAAAAACTGGCAATTTTACAAAACTGAGACACTTACGAAAAAGTCTTCAAAATGCCAATTATATTTTGGGCATTCTACTGTGAAAGCAATAATTTGAGTGTTTCCTGAGTTCTGCTCATTACAGAAAGACAGACTAGATACTGTAGAGTAGAACCTAGGAGGGCAGAAGAGTTTTAGTGGCTGACCAGGTCAAGACTTGCAGATCTTGTTTCAGTTCACCACTCATTCCTGTGAGCAAGCCAAGGCAAACCGCACATGACTTGTGCTGAGACTGGAGTTACTCCTGCTGTACTGGAGCAGAACACAGCCAGGAACCTGATGCCTTTTAGCAGCTACGCTCAGAGGAATCTTCTGGTGCTTGTTCATAACTGACTTAATATCTGCGTTCCTATCTCCTTACCTATAGTCACATACAGCCTGAAGGAAAAACATCAAAACTACAAATTGTGTTTCCAAATGACAATCCCAAATCCCTTGACATTAGCATTACAAAACAACAAAAAAGGGGGCTTCCTTTGAATATTTTTATGTACTCTTAACTTTGCCAAATACCTTCTTAAAACCAAGACCAGAACACTATAAGCATCCTTAAAAGAAAAAACGTCAAATAAAAACTACAACCAAAAATAACCAAGAAAGAGCCCCACCAAACCCATTCAGGTACTAATGCTACTAACAGCTCAGCCTGAAATCCACTAACACACAAATACAGTTTCTACTAGACTCAAAGGGCCCAACATTCACTTCTCTGATGCAGTAACAAGAGCTGGTGTTTGATTCTGACATGATAGTTATCAGCTATTTTGCTGTAACATGAAAGGATCAAGCACACACACACTGCATCCTAACAAATCTATTTGTATGAACTGAACTGACCATGCCAAACAGCTGCAAGGTAGGATAATGTTTGATGTTCACTTAATGCTCCATTTAAACCCAGTGACCTAGATGTACCCTATTACTAAGCCTAAAGGCATCTTGTCCCACCCCTAACTCCAACATTAGACTGAACATTATACTCTTTCCCAAGTTTGAATAGATGAAAGAAATTAAGTTTGTCAGTCTGGAAAAAGGTGTTTTCACAGGAAGATGAAGGACAGTATTCCAGTGTGTGCTACTGACACAGCTTTTAGAGTAGCATGTTTAAACATCTCTGAATGAGGAATCTGCTTACTCTTCTGATGCTCAGCTACAAATAGACTTCTTAAAATAAGAGTTGCATGAAGAGACAGCTACATGTGCTAATATTTATTTAGCAAGTGTAGGAAGCAGTAGGAGCCTGTAACATGTTGTGGTTCATGACATTAACACTACCATGAGAAGCACAGGTAGGCCAGCCCTCAAAAACACTTGACACGGGGCTTTAGAGCTTGAGCATCTTCAAGATAGACAGCAAGATACTGCATCTCCTGCAGTTCAAAGCAGACACTGCTGTACAGTAACATGCCTGGACAGGCCACATAGGAAGCTGGCTTTAGAGTTCATTTCCTTTCTTGCAACCCTCTGTTTCTGATCCTCGAGTCTACTTAAAGATCTTTCTACATTTGATTTTGGACAGGTTACACGAGGACTTGTTTTCAAGCAAAGTAACAGCAGGGGAAAGCACACGGTATGGTTTATATGAATGAGATAAACACTATAGAAGGGAGATGAAAGGAGGAGGAAAAAAACTTGGCATACATTATTCAAGACAGCTTGGAATTTGGAGCCTTTAATGCTACTGGCTCCACAGCTACGTCACACTGGAAAAAGCTTTCCGGAGTTGAAAATTAACACTGACCTTGAGCTTATATCCTGCATGTTCCTCTGTATCATACCCGAGTGACCACAAGGGATGCCCAACTGTAACAGCACTCAGTCAGACATTCACTGTGGATGGGTTAAACACTGCATTCAGCTCAATTACTCAGTGCTTGCTGTTTTTAACCAAGCCTACAGCAGTAGTTGTCCAGTGTTAACCAGCCAATGTAGCGGCTGCCAGCACTATTTTTACATGCATCACAAGGAAGCAGCAGATCACCTGCCTCCCTTTGGGACCTGTGTACCCTTTACCTGCACCACAATCTGCCAGTCAAGTCATTTCTAATAATCAGCACCCTTGGCAGTTTTACTGTAGTGTTATTGAGTGGTTTGTTTCGCTGTTTTTCTTTTTTTCTTTAAGCAGTTTAAGATGTCTCAGCTGAACCCAAGAATACTTTGAACATTTTTCACTAAGTAGTAATAGATTGGATTAAAATTCTCCCCTATCTTCAAGGCATAACATTGCTACTTAAAAATCCAGAGATGTTTCATAGTGCTATGTGGTTCTGAACTGCTCACAAGTCATTGCAAAATTCCCCATTTCTGTCAAAAAGTAAAACCTCATTCTCCCAGCCCTCAAAAAGCCCCATATAATAGAGAAAGCATAGAATCATTTAGGTTGGTAAACACCTTTAAGACCCTTGAGTCCAACTGTAAACCCAGCACTGCCAAGTCCACCACTAAACCATGTCCTGAAGTGCCACATCTAGGTGTCTTTTAAATACCTCCAGGGGTGGTGACTCCACCACTTCCCTGGGCAGCCTGTTCCAATGCTTGGCAACCCTTTCCATGAATAAATTTATCCTAAGATCCAACCTACTCCTCCCCTGGTGCAAGTTGAGGCCACTTCCTCTTGTTCTCATGAGAATAGGTTGACACCCACCTTGCTCCACCCTCCTGTCAGGCAGTTGTAGAGCAATAAGATTGAAGTCCATCCCTGTCCCCCCCGTCCCCCCCAGCCTTCTCTTCTCCAGACTAAACCCCTACCCCCAGGTCTCTCAGCCATTCCCCACCACACCTGTGCTCCAGGCCCTGCAACAGTTCCATTGCCCTTCCCTTGACCTCCTTCAGCACCCCTATAGCTTTCTTATAAGGAACTCAAAACTGAACATAGTACTGAAGGTGTGCCCTCACCAGAACAAAACAAGTCCCATAGTGTGGAGGAACCAGACCTTGCTCAGTAATCATGACATCTACTGAGTTTGAGCTCAAGCACTAAGTGAAAACATAATCCAGGAACTACACTGATTTATCTAGTTCACTTGAACTTTAAGTTAAACACAGCAAGGCTCAACAAAAATCTGTTTATGAGAAACTGTCAATAAACATAGCTTTTAGGAAAATAAAGAAGAGGGAGCATTCAGTAACTACACACCCGGAACAAATAAACTACTTCTAAGCAGCATGCCCACAGCTCTGTCACCAGCATCAATGACAGGGTATTTTACTTACAAATACATTTCCGGCCCTGCTTATTTAAGAGACTGCTAGAAATACTGAGAGAATAAAGAGACTGCTGCTACTTCGTGCTCAGAGTCCTGGCAGGTCATTAACAGCCAGCCACCAGCTCCAGTTTATCAAAGTGTTCTGTAGCTTGACAGCAGACTACTGCCACCACTCCTGTTATCCTCCTCACCAGCTCAAATTAAGGATTTTACCTTATAAATTGTGGTTTAACGCAAATTAGGAAGTAGCACAGTTCAGAAAAACATCTCCAAAGAACTAGAAAACTGTTACATTTCTTCTCAATAACAAGTGGGATTTTTGTTAACTGCTTATGAAACTTGTACTACATAAACCACTCTAGGCTCCAGCATCTCCAGTCATGTGCTAGGCTCCAACAAACTGGGACTTGGGAGAGCACTTGGTAATGTGTAACTTTTTCTCCAGTATTAGGCAAGTTTCACCTGGTAGAATGAGTAGGTAAGAAAAACTTTTGCTGACAGAGTATGAATTGAAGTGAAGAAGGGCAAAACCCAAGGCACTCCTGTGTCTGAATGCTTACACCAGTTTCTAATGAATGCTGTTCAAATGATGACTTGCTCTTCTTACCTATCCTAAATGGCACATTTGGCTCTAAACAATGTTTACTACAAGCCTTCTTCAGCTTTGCCAAGTGTATATAAACCTTGCAAGGATGACTTTCATCAGAAACACATCACAGAAGGGCACAAGAACCCACTTTTAACTCCCAAGTAATTTGAAGGGCAGAAGAGCACAGATCAATAGGTAAATCCACAAAAATAAAGATTAAAAACTAAAAAGATTAAAATCCTGCTATTGACACAGTCAAGTTAGAAATCTCAATCTGCGTCTTCAACTGTAAGAGAAGGCACAAGAGACATTGCAGTCAGGGAAACAAATACAGAAAAGTGTATCATCTAAATCATCTTATCTGCAGGACTGCAATAAATTTAACACTAAGACTAGACAGAGACACTTATTTGACACCCCTGGGAGAGAAGAACCTAGAAAAAAAAAAAAGCCAACATAAACCAAACATAAAACCCCAATCAAGCAAAACCATTGATTTGATCCCTGATGTGCATTTAGTAGTCCATCACCTCACTGGATTAATGAAACCAAACCTGGAACTATTTGGGCTTTAAATGCCTTAGCAATGCAACACAGATGCAGCACTGGCAACCATTTTCTGCCAGATAATCATGCATTATTTGTGAGACACTGCAAGGAAATAAATACATGCTTAAAAACCTAATCCAGTTTGGTATTCTAATCCCAGGCTCTATTTCCAAAGGTGAC